GCTGGGCAATGGCGTGCTGCACCATTTGATTGGACATGCCATCCATCATGCTCTTGCGCTCGCGCTCGCGTGCGTCAATGGCTCCGACGAGACCCATGGGGTTCACCTGCGTTGGGGGCTTCTTGTTCTCGCTGGAGAGGTTGAAGAAGGATGAGCCTGTCATGCGCGCGACGTGCTCCTGTTCGCGCGCGGACAGGTGTGACGAGATGTCATTGTAGTTCATCATGCTGCTGGCGCCGCGCGAATGGGGACGGGGCGGAGCCGTCCAGTCGCCTGAGACTGGCCGCGCGGGGGGCGGGGTCGGCGTGGTGGAGGGAGCCCGATGGTGGACGTGGACGGGCGGGCTGGGGGCCGCTCGCTGTTGCACGAACTGTTCCGGCGTGAGACCGCCGGGGGTGACCGGACGGCCAGCAGCCATGCCAGGCTGCCACATCATGCTCCGTCGGTACTCATCCTGGCTCGGCGATCGGGAGTGCTCCCGGTCCATCGGCTGGGTGGGATTATAGTAGCGTTGCCGCTCGGTGACATCCGAGTCCGTCCGGTGGTGCTGGGTGTTCTTCTTCAGCGTGTCCGACGTCGTCGGGCGGCCAGTGGTCGGCAGATACGTCAGGGTGGGTCCAAAGTCGACGGACGGGATATTGGGGTTGGGTTGAGTGGGTGTATCCAAAGTATAGCGAGCGTCGCCGATGACCAGGTCGTTCTGCGGCACGGCGCCGACGGTTTTCTTGACTCCCATCCGCGGTCGGGGGACGGACCGCACCGAGTGCTTGCTGTAAACGGACCCGTGGGTGCTGGCGTAATCGGGCGACACCGTGGACGCCCCGTCATCGTAGACACTTTCCTCATCCTGGGTCTCTTTCTGCGGCGACGGGAGGGACGGATGCGAGCCCACCCAGTTCAAGACTTCTTCGTCGACGGTATGGCGCAGGTCGTCGTAACTGGGCTCCCCCACGGGGCTGGGAGTCGAAAGATCTCGGCTGTCGTGGGAAGGCAGTGGCTTTCGCTTCACTGACTTGCTCATGTCTAGATGGAGACTCTGTCGCGGGGGTGGCTTTGCCAGGGGGGCGCCGAACATCCCCCGCGGCTGATTTTCCGCGTCGGCCGCCGGCAGTGGCGAGACCGCGGGCGGGGGTCCATAATCCGACACCGCGAGCGCCAGCGGGGATTCCTCGGGGACCGTCGAGTGGGGATTGCGCGCAGCCATCCGGTTCTGGTCTTGCTCGTCCGCCTCCTTCAGGTCACGCTGGTGGGGCGGAGCGGCGGCGGCCCCGGCGAAGGTTGAATTTCCGGACGCGGCGACGAGCTGGGCCAGCGTCGCGTTCGACATTCGATTGTTGGCCCGGCGCAGATCGGACGATGGGCGAGGACGGGACGAGGGCACCTCGCCCGGTCCATGGGTGAACGCAGGCGGCAGGGACACGGGCGCCGGGGGAGACGGCGAGCGGTAGTGCTGTCCAATGTCCTCGGCTTCCCGATCGGGCTGGGGCTTCCATTCCCCGTCAGAACTGCTGCGGTCACTCTGGCCGTTCGTCGTCGGGCGCGGCTCGCCGCCGGACGACGCCAGATCGTGCGCGGATGATGCCGGGGAGGCGCTCTCCGCGATCGAATCCTGCGGCAGCTTCCGGGCGCCGGGAAATCCGGCGGTGTCGGACGCGACTCGCGTGTGGTACGCCGAGGAGAACGACTGGTCGCGGGGCACCTCCTGGATGACGGCATCGCTGGACTGATTGAAAGGCTGCTCCTGCAGGTAGGGGCGTCGCTGCGGACCGCCTGGCACCTGGCTATATCGGTTGGGAAGGCTGGCCCGGAACTGTGGTTTACTGCTAGAGGCGCTGCTCGCACCGCTGCCCCCTACGTTGGCCATCCGGTGCGCGGTGGCCTCCTTCAGCTGTTTCCGCCATTCGGCCTCGCTCCAGTTCTGGCTGCCGGGTGTCTGCATCAGGTGACAGACGTCGAGGACGTCCAGGTACCCGTGGCGCTTCTCGTTCGGGAAGGCGAACATGATGCTCTTGATGTGGTTCGTCGCCGCGATAAGGCGGGTGGGGCGGCCGTAGAGGTTGAAGGTGTCAAATGTCGGCATCAGGAATTTGAGCATGATCTCGAACCCGGACACGGCCGGGTGCGTTTCCGGCATAACAAAGACGAAGCCCTCCGAGGTGGACTCGGGCTCCGAGTGGATGGTGATGCGGCCCTCGATCTTGACCATGGTGGACTGGTCGATCAAGGCGCGCGACTGGGGGTAGATCGCATATGCGCAGTAGGCGTCTTTGATGGTGGCGATGGGTTTCACTTTCTTGGTCTTCTTGGTCTCGTAGAACTTGACATCCCCCGTGACCAAGCGCGGAGCGCGGTCGTACGCGGACTTTTTAATGGACTTCTGTGCCTTTTGGAATTCCTTCTCATCCGGAGGGCTGACGACAAACCAGCAGCGCCGCCACGGGGTCCCCGCGCCAAATCGCACGCGCGCCCAATCCGCGTACTTGAACCGATGGCGTTCGAGGAGGGAGCGGATGCCGTTAAGTTGCTTCCCCTTGCCAGCGATGATCGAGCCAGTGTAGGCTTCCTGCAACGACGTGTGCTCGTACACGGCCAGGCGGATGGCAGCCGTCCACTGGGTCAGCGAATGGAAGGAATTGAAATGGAAGAGGTAGCGATTCTGGCCGGCCGAGCAGAGGCTCAGAACATTCTTCAGCGTTTGCGCCCCTTCATTGCGCGTGGGGAGGGTCTCAATCATCTTGATGGACCCATCGGTCAGGTTGATAAAGGTGGGGGGGACTTCCTCCCCCTCGCCCGCAGCGTCCAGCGCCGCGGCATCCCACAAGGAGAGGGCGGTCCCGATGAGTTGCGCATAGCATTCGACCCACTGGCGATCGGCACAGGGACGGCCTTGGGTGTCGAGATCGTTCAGTTTCAGGAAGTAGCCTTCGTGGTAGAGTTTATTAGAGTGGCTGTTGAGGTAGGTGAAGATGGGCTGCAGCTCCGGCGGCGTATCCTGGGCGAACTCCATCAAGGGTGGGGTGTGCGAAAAGATCGTGGACGCCGGGCGCGAAATCCGCCGCTCCCCGATGGAGGGACCGGACGGGGAGGCATCGAGGGGGGAGGGCGTCTCAGGCGTCGGCGTTTCGGACCTGGGGGGGGATTTATTTAATGTGGCCGAAGCCGAGACGGTGCGGTGATGCTGTTCGGGGTTCTCTTTGCGAGAGCCACCGAAGGCCGAGATGAACGACAACACTGTCAGGTAAGGGATGTCAATGGGGGGGATCCCGATATAGAACAGTTTCTCCTTGATCTGGAGAGTCGATTTTTACTTACCACGCGAACGACCCATGACTGCGTTTGTTCTCTCTCGAAAGTCCAGCTTTCTCTTTGAACCAGATGACAATGGTGCTGCCTAACGAAGGACAGACCGAGCAGCGGGATGACAATCAACAGACCTCGCCGACTCGCGGGGTGGTCTGTAGATAAAACGAGAGGACTGGGAGAGCGGAAGTATGAATTGAATCCGGGCTCCTCCGCACGGAACAAAGCCAGTGGTATCAGTGTTGTAAAAGGCTATTGCATGAGAGTCCGGCGGGATCAGATGACAGGCCAGTGTCCCCCGAGGATGAAACACGGCGGAATGCAGCGGATAGCGTCTGTCCCCGGCAAGGACGTGTGAACGCGGACTGGTTGGAGGAGGCGCCTGACTGTGTATGCCGGTCAGTCGGACAATCCAATGTCTCAAATGATCGCCCTTCCGGTGAGGAGTAAACGGGGGGGGGGGGGAATTGGTGTAACGAAATGAGGGGAATGGTTCTCTAGTCAATGGGAGGGGGAAGGAAAGGACGAAATTCTAGATCGAGGAAAAAGATTGAGAGAAAGAAGGCGCAGTAGGAAGGAGAAGAAGAAGGGAAGAAGCGAAAAGAGGCGAGAAGAGAAAGGAGAATTGATGATGGAGCCAGGTACGTACCCTAGAAGAAGTTGATTGAAGACGTGGGTCTGGGAGATGAGTCTGTAACACCGTTACCCAAACTCCGGTTGACTGGAACCAGTGGTCTGGTTGGGGCGAACAAATGGAAAGAAAAAGGGAAAGAAGAAAATCAACAGAAATCAGGGACGAGAAGAGGAGGAAGTTGAGGAAACACAGAGGACCGTCAGATGGAGGAGATAGAGAGAGATAGAAGGAGGATGATTGTCTCTCTTTGTGACCGACACCGTTGTTGGTCGTACACTGTACAGCATCCCGGATGGAAATACAGAATTACAGTCCAGTACCGAATTTAGGTGACTACCTAAATGTCACTAAACCCAACTCACTGGATCAACGTCATCGCTGGGGTTTAGCTGGCTTGGCTGGTCTTTTTCCTCGAGCTGATCATTCCCTTTCCTCAGATGGATCGGCATGGATCAGAGCATGCATAGGAGTATCCTTTCTTTTTTTCTTTCTTCTGGATTATTTTCTTAATCTTATTTTTTATTCCATTTCTTTGATGGATTTTTCTGTATGTTTTGTATGTTTTCTATGTTGATCAAGGTAAACACTGCTACCTATATCCTAGGCTCTCAGGGTGAGACATCCGAACCATACTATTTTCTTCCCCATCACCAAACCACATTCAACTGGCTTGAGTAACTTTTCCCGACGGTTAAACTAACGGGCCCGTATCAATGTCGTATTCTCACCCGTCTGCAATCTATCCGTGGAGATGCGAAATGATGTCGGACTGTCTCTACTTAAGACCATCCTCTGGATTAATCTAATCATGGTCATTATATTGGAGGAATGTGGGAGAGACACGCCAAATATAGTAACCTCCCTGCAGTGGACGGAATGCGGAAGATGCATGTCTTGAATGACCCTCTTTTTCTGACAGTCGGATTGGTTCTTTTTTGGTGTTTGATTTTATTTAATCGATTTTATTGATTTCAATCTGTTTCATTCGATCTTATAACAGTGACAGACTCCTACTATTATGTCTCTTGAGTAGAGAGTACAGATCTGAATGTCGAGAGTGTCCTAAAATACAAGGCATCAATACAGGTGGCCATTTGCCACAAACCCAAACCATCACGGGCTGCGCCACATCAGTTGGAGTCAATCTATATCATGATTACTATTGAGATCATTCTTAAGGAGCGTTTGTCCAGTTCTCGGTATAATCCTATCCAACCTCTTCTCCCTCACTGCCTAGAGAGCAGGGAGATAAGACAGGGATGAGAACCCTTCCGGAAGTCAGAATGCACGCCTTACCACTGGGACCTCAAAACTGTTCCTGGACACATCCATGGAACCATTGGAATGTCGAATCCAGCCAGGCTGAGAGTTGAACTTGTGGGGCGTTGTCAAATATGCTGATTGCTGAGTGAGACGGACAGACATCTCCATAGTACGGAAGGACGGTAGAAAATAGTATGGAGGAAATTTAATAATAGGAACTCGGTCAGCGCCATCCCCGTCATGCGATCATCCTCTCGATGTGGCTGGTATTCCAATGCACCAGCCCGTGTCAAGGAAACTACCGCTCAAATCAGCCCTCTAGTCCATGGAAGGATCAAACCGATTGCTACTAGTCAGTCGGGATTCCGGACGCGCACTCGGCGGCCGATCCTTACCCCGAGGAGAACTTTTTACCTGCAAAGATGACCTCACCGTGGATTGTTCCATCTGACTACAAGTCTTGGGAGGTGGATGATCTTCCTTTTCTTTCAAGTTTCTTTCAAGTTTCTGGCAACTTTCTTGGTCTTTTTTTTTGTCTCGTCAGGATGTATCCCACCGCCTCTAGTTCCAATTTTAATCAACTTCCAACTTCCAACTTCCCACTTGCCGCGCTTTGCAGGCTGCCGTTGATCGGCTGCATCCTGGGCCCTACTTACGGAGTACATGTCATTAGGCCCTACCTACGGAGTACATGTCATTAGGACACGACCGCCTGCATCACTTGGGAAGATTATCTTTCTTTACCTGGTCTCTACATGCATAGATACTTAGTCTCAACTTAAAACTTATTCATAGAAACTTCATTGCCCAGTCACATTTCTCAAGGAAGGTACTTGGTTCCTAATACCACAACCCACCAACCAATCGCCACTCAACATGTAGCTTATTGACCTCAATCTCATTGTCACCTCGATCTGCCATAACCAACCCTATGGAAATTGGCAAAAGGTAGTCACCTCTCGTGACTCTCCACCACACGAGTCAAACCAAGCTATGTCATCACAGACAATTCAGTGATCACCCCGTCCGATCGTCCCTGCGAACGTAATCAACGTGATCCCTATTCACTAAGAAACGAGACCATCTACATCCATCCCCATCAAGACCCACCGATCCAACTATCTCCGTCCATGATCCGACAGGGTTCTCCCCCCCTAGTATCAATCGCTATTATAGTCTACCGGAGAAAGACACGATGATCATCTACTTTCAGATCTGGTTCTGGTGAGATTGATTTCCAGTGCAGATCTCGCGGGGCCCTGCCAAGTTAACACTGCCTCAGTATGTTCTTTCCCGTGGTTTCCACTGACTGACTCTTGCTAGCTGGCTGGCTGGCTGGCCATTATGTTGGCTCATGCTCGGTGCTCTCCTATGCTTTTTTCTTCTTTTTTTTTTTTTTTTTTTTCACTTGTGTTGGTCTCGTAGGGCTAGAAAACCATGTTGTCTTTGCATTCCAGGTCTTGGTTCGTACATTTGAGGTATGCTTTGGAAATTAGGGCTACTATTCAAGACCTCCTTGACTTAAGTTAGTATCTATCTCGTGCGGTGTCTACATCTATAAGTACATGCATTTGATCTGTTCAAAACTACTGTCTTTCTATATCTTAATGGAAACGTCAATAAGCAGTATAAGACCCATGACACCTTTTGATATCCCGCTTCTTGACGTCAGAAGTATACACTGCATACCACCAGTTGTTATCTCCTTGGAGACTGTGTATCAGACAGAGTTTCGGCCTTTATCATTAACAGTATCATTCACTCAGTTGCAAATGAGAAAGCGTAGTACATTCAATATGTAGTGATCAACCAAGGATCAGTGTGCGAGTTATGAGTGATTATATGTACCAGGTATCATTGTTATTCAGATACATTGTTCAATAGCATGTGGTCCATGTTCAATGCAGCAATGACTACTGCAACAAAATCGAATCCATTTGATACTAGGTTCTACAATGAAGACAAGAGTCAAGTACAAGTACCCAACCAGATCCATGCATATTTGATATGTCAAGAGTATAATCCTTCTGACATGGACTAGGGCTGACCAACCCTGGATCTTGCATTGCACCACCAGCAAACTACATGTACCTAGCTACCTTGCTTAATATCATCAGCTACTATACGCTGTCAGACGTGGCCGAGCACCTTATATCCCTGCTACTCGGCAGAACATGCGCCTGGAATGATCATGTCAACAGCAAACCCTTTTCTATTATTATTTTTTTTCTCTTTTTGGCCCAATATCAGTATACACATTGTTCTCCCTTAAGACTGACTTCTTTTTTGATTTTTCTTCCCACAGAGTAGCGGACCCCCCGGTGGTGGTGACTGAACCAGGATCATAACGGGTCTGCTATCGTATTTCCAAACTCCAAACGCTATGCTGCACAGAGGCATAAAAAGTAACAAGTAATCTAAACTGAATCAAGCAGGGTCGAGATATTGAACAGATGAAGGAGGAAATAAAAGAAAAGACATAGAAATGGAAATGGGTACCCCTCGTTGTTTCTCAAAGCAACTCTTCGCAGGTCCAGTCCTCGTAACTAAGATCAGTCAGTGTCGTCCTCTTGACTGCGCCAGTCACGAGGCTACTTACTATCCATCCGGCAGATATCTCCTCACAATCAGAGGGATCTTCTTCTGGTTCAACTCCTTGATGGCGATCTGCAGAGGATCCGTCTCGCCTTCCAAATCCACCAGCACCGGCGCGTTCATACTAATCGCGCAGCGTCAGCAAAGCCATACCGCAAACTCAGAACACTCTGAACAAACCTGATCTGCAAAGCGCGCGTACCGAGCACCCGCGCCCTCTCGTACTTGGTCATGTACGGGGTCGTCGTGCGCTCATCGTTCGCCACCTTCTTCTCCCGCTGCTGTTCCATCACTTTGCCCGAATATCCCGCGTTCGGGTCGCCCGAGACGACGACGCGATCGCCATTGACGGCCGGCGCATACGAGTCATCGTCGTATCCTCCATCTGCGCCGTCGGCATCTTCGGGGTTGAGGAAGTCTTCCGGCTCGTTGTCTTCGAACTCCTGCTCGGCAGGCTCGTAGTCGTAACTGTGTGGATTGACTTGTCAGAAGCGGGATTTTACCAACTTGCAACGGGGATATTCGGCCATATCCAGCGGCCCATATCTCTTGCTCCCTCCTTTCTGTTGTCAGAACATGGAAGTGGTTGGTCCCTTACGTTTCCTCAGCGTCGTGTTCCCCGTAGTCAGACATGATGACGATTTTTCAAAAGTTACCCGGAAAAGGAGAGATCAACCGGCGAGGCGAGATAGAGCGAACGAAATGACAGCACCGTGGGCCGAGCAGGATGGCGTCGAGCGAGTAATTGACGTTGCGACTGAAGATTTCGATGTCGCGGGCTATCAGAAAGAAAGACCCGGCGGAAAAAGTTCCTTGAGGGGACGCTAGTCCGCTTTGGGTAGATTGGTCTCACCGCCATACAGTGATCCGGCAGTACTTTTTCGGTATCCTAGGATACATCACTTTTTTTTTTTTTTTCCTCCTCTTGTTTGTTTTCCTCAGCATCCCTGGTATATATCCTCGGTATCTGAATGCCAAAGGCCTGCAGGGGCACTTATCTTGGTGCTTACCGGCGCCATGTCTGTAAAACGAAAGGCCTCAGATCTGTATCTGAATCCGAAAAGAGTGCACAAACAGGAAGATATCGGTGAGCAGTTGGCTCTCATTCAGCAGACAATTAACCATAAACTGACATGATCGTCTTGGTAGACCCAATATATCAAGAGACCCATTCAGACGCCGAGTATGCCTCGTCTGGTGAAAGCGTCAAGTCCAATGATAGCCTCCACGAAACCCCCGCGACGCCCTTCTCGACTACCTCCACCAAATATCCGTCTGAGTTGAAAACTCACCTTTGCCCATTTGACGATTGCACAAAAGCATTCAACCGTCCTGCGCGTCTACAGGAGCATCTGCGCTCCCACAACAACGAGCGACTATTTGAATGCCCCAACGACGATTGCGACAAGACCTTTCTGCGAGCCTCCCATCTGAACCACCACGTTAAGAGTGCCCACACCGGAGTTCGCGATTATGTCTGCGACCGGCCAGGGTGTGGAAAGAGCTTCGTAACCGGCTCTCGACTTCGTCGGCACCAGGCCGCTCACGATGGAAAAGACAAGTACCGCTGTACGGAGTACCCGCCCTGTGAAGAGACCTTCCGGAAGCACTCGACCCTCCAGAAACACGTCATGACCGTGCATCTGAAGCAAAAACCCTTCCAGTGCACGCATATCGACTCCCAGACCGGCGAAGAATGCACCATGGCGTTCGACTCCGCGGGCAATCTCCGCGCCCACGAAAGCCGCGTCCACACCGAGAGGCGCTTCAGCTGCGCGGAGTGCTCGGAGCGCTCGGAGGCAAACGGCTGCCCTGCGGTATCGTTTCCGACCTACGCCCTGCTGCAGTCCCATATCCGAACCATGCATCCCCCCCAGTGTCCCAACTGCGCCATCGTCTGTTCCACAGCCCGTGAACTCCGCCGCCATCTGGAAGTCGCGCACGGCGACGTGACTCTCGAAGACCGCAAAGTCTTCCCCTGTACCGTCGACGGCTGCGATCGCAGCTTTACAAAGAAGGGCAACCTCACCGTCCACGTGCGCACCGTACACCAAGGCGAGAAACGCTTCGCCTGCGGCGAGACAGACCTAGCAGGGTCAAAGAGAGTAGCCGGATGGACCGGCGCAGACGGCTGCGGGAAACGATACGGGAGCAAGCTCGCGCTGGAGGAGCACATCCGCACCGCGCACATGGGCTTCCAAAACGCCAAAGCCGAGCGCCGACAGCGTCTCAGCGGCGCCAAGACCCACAAGAACCCTCCCACGTCCACGAGAGGACCGGGCCTCTCGGCCCTAGCGGCCCTCACAGGCGAGGGATACGCCGAGGAGTCCGGCCGTCACATCACGTGCTTCGCAGAGGACTGCCCGCATCGCTTCTACCGGAACTACGACCTGTGGGTGCACATGGGCAGCAAGCACCAGTGCAGCGCAGACGAAGTCCGCGATCTGTTCATGCGGCGCGCACTGCTATCCGGCGACGACGAGCCGCTCACGAGTGACATCCTCGGCATCTACGGTCTGGACCTAGACATCGACGATCCGGCCTCGTCTTGCGGCGCATTCCAGCTAGACGGGACGGCAATGGCAACAACCACAACCACAGCAACCGATCTAGGCCACGACAGCGCAGACCTGAACCTACAAACCAGTGGACTCCCCGAGTTCAACTCCGACCTAATGATGCAAGATGATACTTCCAAGATACCCTTTGATGATGACATGGCGATGATTGATCCGCTGCTAGCTTACAACATGATGAATGATTAATCAAGTCTGGGCTACCCTTTATGACATATATGAAATAATACTTTTTCTTTTCTTTCTTTCTATCGTTGTCTTCTCCCTGTCTCTTTTCTTCGATCGAATACTTGCCGTTTTGTGCACTGAAAGATTGGCTATTAGATATACACTCTACTAAAACTAATCCAGTAAACTGCAATGCACTGTGAACGACATTCTGATCTAGACATACTTCTCAACCAGTAGATGTCCAAGCCCACCCAAAACATAAATCTACAAAGCCAGAGAAGTCAAGAAATCAACCACAGCAAACAAACACCAGCACGTATACCCCAACGCCTGCAAAGCAAACAAAGTATATATCTATCTATCTACCAGCCTATACATTGAGTCTTCACACTACTGGCGAGACCATTGCAAGATTTAGTATACCAACTGGTTATACTGTTGCATCTACCTCCTACCTAGACATTTACGTATCTTGTCCATTCCAAAAAGACATACAGATAGTGGGTATGAGAGGAGAGGGGAGATGTACTAAACTCTAGGTAGATATCTATCATCTCACGCGCAATTAGCGACTTCTGTGCGCACCTCGCGTAATGTCAAGTGCACTTCTTGAGAAGAGAATTAGAAAAAGCTTTAGCATGTATTCGTTCATCCATTTATCCGTTCTAGTCATTCTTCCATTCCTGGAAAAGCCAAAGAAATAGTTGTGGCGAATGTGACTAGCTAGCTAGCTACATAGTATGCTACGCATGTATGTACCACGTTTATCAGGAGAGCTGACTTTTTTCTTTCTTTTTCTTTTTAGCTGAAAACACAATTTATTCTTCTTCCTGGTTGAAAACACAAAGCCTTTCATCTCTGTTTGGTTTTTTCTTTTTTTTTTATTGTCCCTCTGGTTTACTTTCTTTGGCCTAGTCTTTTGTTTGGGTATCTTCTTGATAAGACAAACGCTTATAGGTCCTAACCCTGAGAGCTCTTCTTGGCTGCTTGGTGAATAGATGGCCGGTGATGAGTGGAGATTTGTCTGGAAAAGCGGTAGCAAGGCGAGAGACAGAGAGAAGAAAAGAGAGAGAGAGAGAGAGAGAGAGACAAATACGAGTACACAAGGAATAAAATCAAGCCAGTCTGATAGAAAGAAACAAGGCACCAACCCAGATGGGCCTGCGCGTCGGGCTGGATGTTCAATCAAGACTGCCAACGCTAATTCATTCAGTCGTTCTAGTGTTTCGTTTTGGGGGTATGGGGAGGAACCTGTAGATTGCCGTTGCTGTCGCTGTCGCCTACACTACGTCCGTTGTGCGAGCAATCTAGCTACTAGCGTCGTGATCGTTCTTGTTGGGGTGGATGCTGTTCACGAACTCGGCGAGCTCGGCTTCCACTTCTGGACAGGAGATGCACTCTTCGGCGTAGGCGAGCGGGGAATTAGTCAGTGGGCCGCCCTGGAAAGAGAAGAGTACGTCGTTAGCTTTACTGCTCGAGCTAGATGTTGAATGGGTGAGCTTGCCTGGTCGTCGTTGAAAGCTTGTTCCCCGCGGAGACGCAGGAGAGGATCATCTGTGTGGACTCGCAAGCTAGGACGAGGAACATTCAGACGACTGGGAACGTCAGGAGAGCTTCCAGGCGGCTGGGACTCACTGCGGGGAGCAGGTGGGTCTGAGAGTTGGAAACTCTGGGCCGCTTCATCCTTCTCCTTCTTCTTCAGAAGGGAAACCTCCTCTTCCAGCCCCTTAGCCACAACGAAGTTCGACCTCCACACATCCATAAAGTAGTCCGCGTTAGAGAGCTGGGGATCTCCGAGGCGGAGATGCACAGGTGTCTGCATGCGGGACATGACCCCGTTGTTGCTGACTCTGATCTGGGAGAGCTGGCGCAGGAAGCAGACGTAGGGCTCCTTGGCAGACTTAGAAGGCCTGTGGGCGGTAAAGTGGCGGGCGATGTCACAGTACAGGTGGACGGCGGCCTGGCCCCTGGCCACGCTGAGCCAGATGGCGAGCTTGAGCAGCAGGCTGAGGGCTCCGTTGTTGTGTTGCTCGGACGGCCAGACGCACAGGTCTCCTTGCTCTGCTTTGGCGGAGGAGGAGTGCGGGATATCCGGGGCGATGGGAGGCAGCCAGCCTGACGAGCGCGCTCTGTCTGGCATGTTCTCGCATACGTAGGATTTGTACAGTTGGTGGAAGCTGGTGGCTTCGAGGTCGGTCTTGGGAAAGCCGTCCCAGTCTGCTGTGGCTTTGCAGGCGTCCAGACGGTGCTGTCTGATGCTGAGGATGGATGTGCGTTCGGTGCTGACGGGGAGGTCGGTATACATGGCTCCTAGAGACATTTTATCAACCTATGTTTGTTTAGAAGGTTGGTGGTGGAAGTGACTTACTATCTTCGTCGTCTGACTCCAAAGCGGTCATGATGTCCTTCTTGAACTGTTCGATGACCTCCACCGACGCAGCCAGCTGCTTATAGACGATGCCGCTGTCCTTCCGCCGGGTATTCACCCAGTAGATAGGCACCGACGTGTCCCCACGCAGGGGAGCCACCAGCTTTCTCAGCATCTCGATCTCAGAAACAAAGTAGGTGACATCGACCAAGCTAGTCTCGCTGAGAGTGGGGATGTTCTGCGTGTGATAGCGAGCGTTGAGCCAAGTCTCCAACGCGATCTGGATCTTTTCAATCTCGCCGCAGTCTAGGAGCAGGATCACGAGAAGGTGCTTGTAGGACCCGGGGAAAATACTGGCAGACAGACCTGGGAGATAGGCGAGGACTTCCCGGTCGAACGTGCCCGGGTCGAAGCCCTTGGAGAACATGCCCATAATTTCGTCGATCTGTTCGCTGGCCACTTCGGTCATTGCCCTGACTCTGGATTCCTCAAACTGACGAGTGTCTCTGCCAGGCTCATAAGGTATGTCTATGGGGGAGGAGGGCTTCTCGTCCTCTGAGGAGTTGGAGATGGAGTCCGGGGCGACGTTGCTGGTAGACATTGTGGCAGGGGGACACAAGGCTGTCTATTTTGATAATGGATTGATGACTGTAACCCCAAAATTGTAATTGACCAAAATATGAAAGACAAACAAAAGGAACAAAACGAAGAAAGCCAGGAATAGTAATGAGGGGTGTGTTTGAGATTTAGGGAATAAACAAGAGGTTGTCAAAGAGGTCACAGAAAATGATATAGGTAGAAGATGTAGAGGAACCAAGAGAATCAAAGGCTCAGAAATAAGAGAAGAGATAGGAAAAGAGAGAAGGAGAGAGAGAAGAAGAAAAAGGGAAGAATGAGAAGAAGAGGGGATTATATGTCCAAGTGAATATTTATATCAGTGAATGAGTTACTACAATTGTCCACCCTACTAGTCACTACACATAGTGACCTCTCTCTGCTAGGATGGTGAGCAAAAATTTGCCCGACCAGGATATCAAGTCTATCTGATTTCATTTTTTTTATTTTCTGATATTTTTCTATTCCTTGATAATGCATTCTGGTTGCACCTCTAAGAATAATCTAAGGCTAAGTAGGCAGGATCAGCATCATCAGGCACGCTGGTACCTTTGGCAGTAGCCAGAGGGTGATGCGGAGCAGGCTGTACTTGATCTAGCCATATTTCCCCTTGGTCTGCCTTTCAGATAGATATCTGTATTCTGTCCTACTATTATGAATAGTCTGGTTTCTGTAGTTGCTTGTCAGGATGCTCGGAATGTTTTGAGTATCTACTGGTTAACTAAAGTTGAAGGATATAATAATCTATGGAAATAAAGGCTTTGAAGATTGCGGAGCGTAGAATACATCAAACAATCCATTGTATGAAAGAAAGGAAAAAATAGTAATGACAATGGCAATGACAATGATTATAGATGAGGTATATCAATGAATAGAAACAAAAACGATAAATCAAACAAAATAGAAAAACTAGGTACGGCTGGAATGCACAAGCCAACCCAGTAATCTGTGACACTTGCTTTCCGCCCAATCACCACGTCCCAATTATATTGATGCAGAATTGCAGGTAGTTATCTCAGTAAACAGCAGACTGACAGCCAAAAAGGCATGAAAACTGCTAACAGTACTAAATGTATCCAGCAATAGACAGCGTCACTGGACCAAAATGTCGCTTTAACCAGACAGACCCCTTGGTCTGATTCATCCGAACTGCACATGTAGGCTTGGCAGCTGGGACTTCTGGCGTTGCGCTGATGCACATTCTGAACACATGTTCAAAATGTACATTAGCGCATTAGCCACTGTGACACTAGGTTAGGACCCACGCCCAGCTTAGCTGTAGCCCCGTGACACTCTCAGACATCAGGACATGGCACTAGGCGAGTGACCTAGGAAATCAGGAACCAGAGGATAGGACATAGACAGTGCCATTTCTACTGGAAATCCCTAACATACAATAAGCATCAATGGATAGAATGTAAGTTCCGGACGCTGGTATATCAAGCAGACCCGACAAAGATGACATAAAACGTAGCTAGAGGGTAAAGACAGCCCCTCATGACAGGGAGAGCGGCATGTTGATCATCTGCGGTTGACTTGATCCAGAGAGAGACTTGGTTAGGTCCAGAGTAGGACTGTCGTGAACATATGGATCTCGCCCTCGATGTTGACGGGGTCACGGTCTGTCATATATAGGCAGACCCCCGTGGCTGAGAGTTAACTTCAACTACACTTCGGACATTGCTCGGGTGAACGCCGAGCTCTAGCAGTGACATTTTCCGGGCTTCGAGGCGAGACTGTCAGTTTATGCGATTCAAGTGATCGGGCTACCCCTGCCATCGGATGGTCTAAGATATTTTGACCCGATTCTAAGGCGTTTTTCCTTCCTCTAGTTACACGATCGCGGTTCGAGGTACAGCCCGCTTGGTGTGTAGTACTTGGTAGGAATATCTTCGACCTGGTCAGAGGGATAGTACATTGACCAAATGGATGGATGACTTGGTAATGTTGTTAGTCAGGTTGATGGGATGGCATGAAGAAGGATCCAATCTGGTTTAAACCGTCTGTGATTGACATATATAGGGAGTATATCAGTAAGGTTGCTTACTTAGGCAGGTACCAGTATTCAGCATCATATCTAGGTCATGGTGGAATCAGCTGACTTGTACTTTCCCCATTGATATTTTGACTTTTCTGGCAATCTTGCAATCTGGCAATCTGGAAACCCTTTGCAACCTTTCCATTACTGCAGGTTTATCAGTTTCATCACAACTGTTCACCGATTCATCACTATTCTTGACCATTTATCGTCCTTCAACAGTACCATTCACTCGACACATCATTCATATAGCAGAGACCGTTTCTGTTGGCATCCTTACCGTGTTCTGTGGATTAAGTGGAGTGTGTTCTGTTCATCCTGAAAATGGTACGTTGTCTCTACAGGATGGCACCTTGGTTCACATGGACGACTTCATGGATGGGTTTGTATACAGTACATATACTAACCGTGCTATCCTTTCAGCTCACTGAACCGACAGACAAGGCTTCTAGGCTGTCCAGCTCCAAGCAGGCAAAGAAAGTCGTCAAGTTCAATCTCCTTAATCCCACAGGAGACACACGAGACTCGAACCAGTGTCAAGATGAACCCATACAAGTGAAAGACTCGCAGAATACTGCTCAGGAGATCGCCAGCTCCTCCGAGGAACAGGCAAAACTGCGGACCGAGAACGACATTCTTCGGGCTGAGTGTGCAAGGCTCGAGACGAACTGGGATGAGTTGTTTGAGTTACTCGGTGAAAAGCAGTCTCGCCTCACGGCGCGGATTGAACAGCTTCAATCCGAGAAACAGCGTCTTGCGGAACAGGCTGCACAGATGGAGAGTTCAGGCTATATAGAAGCAGAAGAGGAATCGGATGACTAGTGCAGAGTGCCCCAAGATGAAAGGAAAGCTTGATGTAATAGAGCAGAAATTGTCTGAAAGTAGAAGAGTGATCGAGTTTGCGTCCCGTTTTCTTTGACACGGTTGCTTGCGCTTGTTTTCGGAGAGGGATGGATTAATCGGGTAGGCTTTAAATTGGTATGACGGTTATATAAATTATCTTTACTTGTCAGGTTGAACGTTAAATCCAATCAAATAATTAAATCCAAAAATATAGTCATAGTTTTGTTATCCACCATCCGCAAGAACCCGGTAGTCCATTCTCGACATCGCCAGAAACAACACTGACCTCATCCTGACACTATCCTGTTATCACAGGCAGTTGCCCTATAAGATCCCAGACCATGCTCTCCTTTCTTCTACCTTCTCTCACTTCTTTCTTCTCTTCCATCCTGGTCTTCACTCAAGCAACAACTCAACAACCGAACTCCCAAGTCACCAAAGGCCTGCTATATTCTGCAAATATATCAAAAATCAGACTCCTAAGTCACTGAAGATCTACTACAAGCTGCAGATATATCCACCGATGTTAGCTGGATACTATCATCCTATTAAGTATTGATCCCTTATTACCCGATTGAAATCATATGGCTAACGGCGTAACCATTGCTAGAAGACCTGGTGACTGTGTTGCTCTAGAACATATGATCTGTGTCTCTCTCTGCTGGATGATATTCTTTTACAGCCTTGTGCAAGATACCCTGTCTGTAGCAGCAAACAGGCCGCTCAACGAAGTAAACATGGTATGTCGTCTTTCTAACGGTAAGTTGTCTTTACAGGATGTAGCCTTGATCCGCCTGGACAACTTCATAACTGAGTGTATACATATACATACTGACGTGTCTCCCTTTCAGGGGATACCCACTGCAAACCTCCCGCGCAAGCGGCCGACAGACGAGGCTATTACGTTGCTCATTCCTAGCCAGGCAATTTCCGCCGCCGACTCCGAGCCGGGTAATCCCACGGCAGACTTCCGCGACTGCAGCGACTGCAGCCAGTGGTCAGATGAATCCAAAGTGGTGGAAATCTCGCAGAAGGCTGCTGACGCGATAGTCAATTTCTCCACGCATGAACGGGAGGTGAACCATTTGGAGGACGAGTTGGAGGAACACTATGAGAAGACGAACCACCTGATGGCGCAGATCGAGCAACAGGTGCTCGATTGCAAGCTTCTTGAGAAACAGTTTGCGGAGATCAGGGCCGTGATACCACGACACTAGAGGAGCACGGTTTAGAGGGAGACTGGTCAGTATCCGAGTGGATACGCGTTAGGTTAGTTGAATTCCGATCAAGAATGACCACTCGGCGACATAATTTATCTAGACATTTTTGGTTTCGGGCTCTGTGAGTCATCGTTTATAACATCTTATGTTGGAACACAATTGTGCGGCGCGTTGGCCTTCTATCCTACCAAATCCATGGCAAGTTTAAACATTGCGATGTAGAGACTTGCCTTTTTTTTTTCTTGTATTAACACCAACAAGGACATGCAATAAACTCCGACTCGGAGATTTCCCCGAAGCCAGACTCGGGGATAAGTACTGTGGAATCAATCCCATGTATTGAATGAAGCCCCACGTGGCGCGCCATCGTAAAGGAGTAACAAATCGAGAGACGAGATATGAATCTCCACAGTTGGACAACCCGGTAACCCCACATGGGAGAGTCGGCTCTCGGATATCGCAAGATCCACTGGGGAGTCGGAGAAGACCAAGTACGTGCATAGCTCGGATTTGATTCGAGCACGATCCGGTTAGTTCAAGCTTAGCCATCGTGTGGCCCCGCATGGCCTGCAATTGAATGCGACTAGAGACATGGATTTCGGTCTAAACAGAAAAGAGAATGAAAAAATTAGGGGCATTATAAATCAACGCACTTTTCTTCCTTTCGTTTTTGTTCATCCGTCTATTCTACCGTCTCTGGTTTTTTCTTAATTTTTATAAGAGAGTCGATTGTTTCATCTGTTTCCTCGCTTTCTGTCTGTTCAGACCACGACATTGCAGATACGAAAATGTCCGACGCTGATACAGAAAAGAAGGCCGTGGAGGCCTCGACAACAGCGGGTTCCGATGACCACGAGCCCGTGTTTGATACTGGCCTGACGCCATGGCTGCAGGTGTTCGGTGCATGGTTCCTCTTCTTCAACTCATGGTATTTCTCCTTCTTCTTCTAGACGAGGGTAGATCATACTGACCAGATACAGGGGCGTCATCAACACCTGGGGAGCCTTCCAGACATACTACGAACAGACCATCCTGTCCGATACACCGTCATCCTCCATCGCCTGGATTGGATCCCTGCAGTCCTTCCTGCTGATGTTATTCGGCGTCGTCACCGGCCCCCTCTTCGACGCGGGTTACTTCCGCGCCCTCCTCGGGTTCGGCACCATCGTGCTGCCATTCGGCCTGATGATGGCCAGTATCTCGTCCCAGTTCTGGCACCTCATCCTCGCGCAGGGGATCTGCGTCGGTCTGGCGGCCGGCTGCCTGTTCGTCCCCTCGGTGGCCGTCCTCCCCCAGTACTTCCAGCGAAAGCGTGGTCTAGCCAACGGCATCGCCGCCTCCGGGAGCAGCATCGGCGGCGTCATCTACCCCATCATGTTCAACCAGCTGCAGCAACAAGTAGGGTTCCCCTGGGCGACGCGGGCCATCGCCTTCGTCTGCTTCGGCACCTGTCTCATCAGCTTCAGCCTCATGCGCATGCGCTTCCAGCCCAAGCAGAAGCGTAAGCTCGTCCAGCTGTCCGCCTTCAAGGAACCCGCCTTCTGCCTCTTCTGCCTCGGCATGTTCCTCGGCTTCCTGGGATTCTACAACTTCCTCTTCTACGTCCAGTCCTACGCCATCGAAACAGGCATCGTCGACTCCCACCTAGGCTTCTACCTCCTCGCTATGCTCAACGCCGGCTCCACCTTCGGCCGCGTCTTCCCCAACCTCGTCGCCGACCACATCGGGCCCCTCAACGTCCTCACCCCCGCCGTCACAGCAACCGCGATCCTCGCCTTTGCCTGGCTCGGCGTCCACAACGTCCCGGGCATCATCGTCCTTTCCGTCCTCTACGGTCTCACCTCGGGGGGGTTCGTCTCCCTGCCCCCGGTCGTAATGATCACCCTGACCAAGGACCTGGGCGACTTGGGAACGCGTCTGGGCATGGTTTTTGCCGTTACCTCCATCGGCCTGCTGATCGGGACGCCCATCGGCGGCGCCATCCTCAGCGATACGCACCAGTATATGGGCGTCCAGCTGTTCACGGCGTGCTGTCTCATCACTTCAGCGGTGGTGTTTGCCACGTTGCGATTTATCCGCACGGGAGCGCATCTTCGCATTCGGACATAGGGTCACATATCAAACGATCCCCACCATAAAACATCCACAGGTCCGATAACACTACCCGTGTGGTTGTCCGGCCTGTATAACCACGCACCAGTCGTGCGATTCTTACTACGGATCGCTTTCGATCTTCCTGTGCGCTCTACCAAAGCCTGCTCCACCGATAGCGAGGAGATGAACCAGGATGAGCCTGCCTTGGCAGCGGCTGGTCATAGACAGGACATGTGCATGGTCGAAATTACGGCCGGCGTGGTTTTGAACAGCCAACTAGGCGCATCCTGGTCACAACCAGGTATATCTACTGGCCCATCGGCCAACAGTCAGAAACATGGCTAAATAATAGAACATACAACCACTCCGTGGTACATACATCAAGTTACACACCGCAGGCATCACAAACACCCAAACATAGACACACTCCTATATAATGCCAAATAATGCCAAATGATGCCATGTATATATAAATTCTAAATTATGCTCGGAATCCCAAAAGAACCAAACTCCCAATGCTAAAACCACTCCCCGCTCCACCCAACTAAACTAAGACACATCCTCCGGGTTCACCAAAAAGTCCTCCCCCTTCTCCCTCACATGCTCCAGCTTCTTATCCCGACTACACGGCTTGCGCATGTCGTAGGCATCCTCGCCCGATTCGGACATTCCCGATGGATCGTCACTGTAGTAATTGACGACTCTGCGGAAGACGGAGTATCTGTTTCCGTTAGTCATATCTCGCATATAGACATGTGCCAGCTAGCATTCTATCCAGTAGATAGATAGATAGATGAGAGGAGGAGGAAACATACCCCATCCCCTTGTACATATCCACCGCGATCTTATTGCCCGCCCGCACATAAAGATCCACAAACCAAGCGTCGTTGATATCGGAGCCGCTCTCGAGCCGCTCGGTCAGACGGCGCGCGTGGCCGAGTCGGCGCCAGGCGGGCGCAACGGTCAGCACGGTGATGTGGCCGTGCCAGGGGGTGTAGTGTTCCGAGTGACGCATGGAGGGGTGTTGTTCTTCGAGCTTGCCCATGACTGATTTGTTAACATTATATACTTCACACATATTTAATACTGTATATATATGTATATATACCGTATATGTAAGAGAGTAATACGTACTATATCCAACAATCCCATCCCGCCGGTCCGTCACCCCGCTGAAGAGCGACGGCCAGCGCATCATGTAGTTGAGGTAGAAACCGAGGTCATAGTTCTCGGTCAGGGGGTCGAGGTTGGTCTGGTTGAGGTTGAAGATGTCGAGGGGCGACATGCGCCGGATTGAACTCATGGTGTGAATTGAGTGCTGAATTGGAGATGAAGCTGAAGCTGAACTGACAAACGTGGGGAAAGAAACGGAGCTCAAAATTCCCGATTGGGGCTTGGACGGTCACGGGACTTGTGCTGTTTTCTGACTCAGCTGTTCATAAATCGAAGACAGGAATAATGAATCCATTCATGGTTTGATCCTGATCCAATCCATGGTTTCATTTCTCTCCAGTCTTACTCCATACTGTCCTGTTCTTTTACCCTTGGCATCTTGTTTAGTTGGATAGAAAGCATCCCGGTGATGCGATCGTGCTGCAGTCGGCTTGGAAACTGTGAAACAGCTTAATCCCCCTCGGTGCCTTCTACTTCTTCCCCCCCCCTTGCCGATATCTCCATCAGGACTTGCAGATGCCAATTTACCAATCATAACATAAATCCATCCATTCTCCTTGGATCTCGTGGTTGATGCTCTGAACTGCATGACATCGTCAATTTTCTTACCTAACCAGTTGTCATACTATATTCGGAATCAGAATAAAAAATGCCCGCCATCCCACCCTCTCCCCTGAGCATATCTCACCGCCACAATCGCAGTCGATCCTCGAACCTCGACCTCGACTCCCCCATCTCCCCCGGTGTCTACACCTCCAATGGGTTCTCACACAGTCCCCTCCAATCCCCTCGTCATCAAAACCACCTCTCTCACACCATGAACGGATCCCAGCGGATGTCCGGCGACTTCGGCGACGCCGCTGACGCCGCCGCCGGCGGCGATGGTGGGGGAGGAGGGCTGGGCAATCTGGCCGACGAGCTAGCCGACGCCTGGGAAGCCGAAGAGAGTGGCTACGGATACGTCTCGGGGCAGGAGATGGAGAACATTCCCGCGGATCATCATACCCAGCATGCGGCAGCGACCAGCGACTCCGAAGATGGCTACCACATGGTCGGCGCCAGGACCCCCTCGTCCGGCTACGACTCCGAACGAGGCTCCCTGCAGCCCCCAAAGCCTAAAGCCCGCAACGGCGGCCCCGCCTCCCACCGACAACATCGTCGCCATGAGTCGCACTACGACGGCTCCGACTATGGCAATGACTCTGACCTCGACGAGTCCGCGGATATCTCGCCCGGTTTGGAGAGCCAGATGGCGGAGGTGGAGAGTCTCGCGAGAAGGGGCCTCGAGAATAACGGGAGTGAGAATGACCATGTCATTGCTCGGGCTGTGACGGCGTTGCAGGATCTTGGAGGCCAGAGCGGGGTGGAAAATAATGCCATGAGGTACGTCCCTCCCCCTTTATTCTATCTTCTATGACCATACCGCCGGTGAATTCCCATCCAGTCCACTAATTAACAAACAATGCAATCAGACTCATCACCGCACACTCCTCCATCACTTCACATCTTACCCACCAAACCCGAGCGCTCCAAACCCTAACCCACCCCCTCCTATTCTCCCCCTTTCCGCTCCTCTCCGCCGACGCAATCGACGCCCTCATCCCCCTGATCGACGACGAACTCCTCCCCACCCTCCCCTACCCCTTTCCCGCCGACCAGAACCGCCCCTCCCGCCCCTCCAGCACCACAACCACCACCACCATATCCTCCCGCCCAACCACCCCCGCCCACAACCCCCTCGTCTCCCTCCAAACCCTCATCGCCCAAACCTCAGACATCACCCTCTCCCTGCGCAGCCTAAGCGACACCCTCTACGAATCCCGCCAGCTAACAGCGACCGCCTCGCGCCGACTGCGTTCCGCGCGCGAACTCGTCGCCGACCTCCGCCGCGAGGACGAAGCGCGCGAGGAGGGAACCCGCTGGATCGAAAAGGGCGACTGGGACACCCGCATCCGCGAACGCACTGCCGGCAGGGAGTGCGGAGACGTCGTCAGTGGCTTTGAGGCTGTCTGTGGCGAGTGGAGGGAGAGGTTGTTTGGGGCTGCTGCTGCCGGGGGGGAGGTTGCTGCTGCTTAACTTGTCCCTTTTTCTCTCTCTTTCTCTCTCTCTCTCTCTCTCTCTCTCTCTCTCTCTCTCTCTCTCTCTCTCTTTGGCCTTGGCGCTTTCCCATATTGTGGTTGGCTAAAAGTTGGAAACGATTTTTTCAACCGTTCGTCTACCTGTCCGTCTGTATATGTGAGGTTGATATTGGCCTTTTTTTTCACCCTTACATACTACATACTATACTACATCTATACATACATAGTACATACCCCTTTTATTTGTCTTCTTGTGTCTGTCTGTCTGTCTGTCTGTCTGATTTTCTTATCTCTCATTTATCTTTTCTTTTTTGCATGTTCTTTCTGTTTCCGTGCCACTTTTCTGTCAGTATATACTATATTATATACATCCATACATACATTTAGATAGATCCCGCTATGTTGTTTAGTATCAAAGTCGTCAGTCAAGTTAGCTCCATGGGCACAGATGCTACTGACTACTGTATTGAACAGTTTATACAGCATCATCAGTATAGCTTTCCTTCTTCCCCTTCTTCTTCTATTACTACCACTACTACTGCTGCTGCTGCTACTAACAGCGGACTACCTACTACTTATCTTTTCAAAGGTAAAAATGTAAACAAGGCATTCAATAATAAACATAAATTAGATTATAAAAGAAACCGGACGATAAATCCCTACAATACCTACTATACCCACCCCCCCCCCCCCCGAGATCCAATAGGTAGACAGATAGACATCCTATATACCACTTACTTAGGACTCAAGGAGAAATAGAACAATAAACAAATAGATAACCACGATAATGAGAATGAAAGAAATACTAAATGAGGCAATGCTAACAAAATAGTAGGACAGGACATCAAGATTGACGAAAAAAAAGAAAAACACGGAAGGAAAAAGATTGAAATATCAGATCACATCGGATCAGATCAAATCAGACAAAAATGAAAATGAAAGAGACACAGAAAAATTTAACTAAACTTTTCCCTCTCTTTACGGTCGTTCGGTTCTCGTTTCCTTGGTTTTGTTTTTTGTGACATTTCGTCCCTTGAAATTATAATCTCAGATGGACGATTTACTGGCCCTGCTGCTGCTTCCACCGGGGAACCCACTTGGAGCCACCCGCGGCGGGACGCGACTCCGGGGCAGGACGCGACTCTGGGGCGGGAGGGGTCTCGCTGCGAGAGGGACGCGGCGACGGGGAGGCGGGAGGGGGCGTCGATGGGGCGGCTCCGCCGGCACCACGGAGGTGCGGCGGCACGTAACCACCGGGGCGGCGCGCGGGCGGCGCGGCGGCCTCCTCCGGACGGGCCTCGGGCGCCGCAGGGGCGCGGGCGGGCTCGGACTCGGCGGGGGCAGCAGGGGCGGATTCCTTGGCGGCCTGGCGCTCGCGCCAGCTCGCGCCGGCACCACCCGTCCGGGGGGCCAGGTTGAGGCGCGGGGCCACCCGCTCGGTAGGGGCGCCCGCCCCGTGGTCGGCGGCGGGGGCGGGGGCGCCGGAGGCCCGACCCAGGCGGCGCTGTTCGGCTTCCTCCTCGCGCTGACGCTGCTTGGCGGCGATCTCGTCGAGCTTGCGACGCTCCTCCTCGCGGCGGACCTTCTCCTCGGCCAACTCCTGGCGACGCTGGGCGTCGCGGGTGGCCTTCTCCTCGGCCTCGCGCTGGAGGCGGGCCTCCTCCTCGGCCTGCTGGCGCTCGGCCTCCTCGCGCTCGGCGCGCTCGCGGCGGCGGCGCTCCTGGACCTCCTTGACGCGCTGGCGCTTCTTGGCCTCGAACTCGCGCTCGGCGGCCTTGCGGCGGCGCTCAAACTCCTCGTGGCGCTTCTCGGAGACCTCCTGGCGGAAGCCGGAGAAGGTCGGGACGAGGCGGCCGAGGCGGTGCTTGAGGGCGACGGCCTCGCGGTGGTGGGCCTCGGCCTCGCGCAGGGTGGCGGCGGTCTGGGCGTCGTGGAGCTCGCGGTCGTGCTGCTGCTGGCGCTCGTAGTCCTCGGGGATGTGCTTGAGCTCCTCGCGGCGGAAGGCGCGCTCGAGGTGGTCGATGCGCTTGGCGGTGGTGCGGACGCGGTCCTGCAGCTCGTTCTTCTCCTTCTCGAGCGAGGCCAGCTTGATGGCGCGCAGGCGGTTGGCGTCGAGCTCGTCGAGGTCGAGCTCGTCGAGGTCGATGCCCTTGACGCCGCTCTTGAGCTCCTCGATCTGCTTCTTGAGCTCCTGCTGGCGGATGCGGTCCTGCTCGTCCTTGATGCGGCGCTTCTCGCGCTCGCGCTGCTCGTCGAGCAGGCGCTGCTTCTCGGCCTCCTGGAGCTGCTGGGTGCGGATGCGCTTGCGGGTCTCCTCTTCGCGCTGCTTGCGCTGCAGGGCGTCGGTGGCGGCCTCGCGGCGGCGCTCGATGACGAGGCGGCGGGCGAGGGTGTCGTCGTGCTCGGCGGCGGCCCCGGCGCGGGCGCGCTCGTGGGCGGCGCGCTTGGCCTGCAGGCGGGCCTCGTGGTAGGCCGGGTCGACGTACATGCACGAGACGTGCAGGGTCTTGGCGAGGCGGGTGAGCTGCATGCGCGCGATCTCGGCGGGGGTGTGCTGGAGGCGCTGGATGGAGCCGACCTCGGCCTCGGCGGAGCCGGCGGCGGAGCCGGCGTGCAGGGCCTTGGCGGAGGAGAAGATGTCGGTGTCGAAGGTGAGGACGCCGGCGAGGTGGTCGACGCGGATGGCGAGGTCACCCTTCTTGCAGCCGTTCATGATGAACTTCTCGATCATGGCCGGGGTGATCTGGTAGGGGGCGGGGAACTGGGCGAGCTCGTAGACGAACTTGAGCTCGACGGAGTCGTAGACCTGGGAGAGCTGCTGGAAGAGACGGGTGAGGATGACCTGCTGCAGGGGCAGGACGTACTTCTCCATCTCGGGGTCGGCGCCGATCTGCTGGAGGATGGGGTTGATCTTCTTGCAGATGGAGAGCGGGTGGAAGTCGACCTCGAGGATGTTGTAGAGCTCGCGGATCTCGGGGCGGGCGCGCTGGAGCATGCCCTTGTTGAGGGCGTCGCGGAAGAGGACGCCGCGGGTGGGGGGCTGGGCCATGCCGAGCAGGTTGGTGAGACGGGCGTTCTTGTTCTTGCGGGCCTCGTCGACGTCGACCAGGGCGCCGCGGGAGCGGGAGGTGCTGATGACGGGGATGGCGAGGGCGGAGAGCAGGACGAAGGAGGCGGTCTTGGTGAGCTCGGCCTCGGAGACGGCGGGGTTCTCCTTGCGGGAGCCGTGGCCGGCGGCGAGGGCGACGGCGGACTGGCGCAGCAGGTTGAAGTAGCGGCTGAAGGCGGCGGCGTGGAAGAGGTAGTTCTCGGAGACGAGGAAGATGCGGGCGAGCTTCTCGTAGTAGTTGGCCATCATGACGTTCTTGGCGGGGCGCTTGCTGAGGGAGAGCAGGGTGTGGATGTCCTCGATGGAGCGGAAGGCCTCCTGCCAGAGCTCGAGCTCGACGGCGACGTTGAGCTGCTGGAAGCGGGTGTCGAGGTGACGCTGGAGGGTGTCCGGGTCGCTGAGGTTGATGGCGTGCATCTGGGCGGCGTACTTGGCGGCATTCTGGACGTGGTTGCGGAGCAGCTCGCAGAGACGGCGGAACTCGGTCTTGCGGGCGTACTTGAGGCAGAACTGGAAGGCCTGGAGAGCGGTGCTCTGGTACATGACCTCAAGGCGGGCATTGTTCTTGAGGATCTCGAGGACGGTCCGGTAGGTCTCCCAGAGGAACTTGAGCCAGGGGGTGACGACGGCGCGGTCGGTGCGATCGCGGGACTGCTCGCCGGAGACGGTGGCCAGGAGGATGGTCTCGGGGGTCTCGATCGCCTCGAGATCCTCGACGTTGGTGGAGGGCGCGGCGGATTCCAGGGAGGACTGGATCTCGTCGGCCTTGGCCTGGGCCTCGGTGACCTTCTTCTCGGCGAGTTCGATGAATTTTTTGAGGACGATCTATCCAGAATCGTCATTAGCACCATTCATTCATCCAAGAAAGGGCGGGAAAAAAAAAGTGTGCGTTACCTCGATGCTGCCGACGTTGGTGTTCTGGGCAATGTTCTTGTACTGGTAGAGACCATCCTTGGCGGCCTTACCCTTGCGGAGATCGACGCACAGCTCAACGAAGAGCATCATCAAGGGCTCGAGGGAGACGATGGGGGTATTGCGGGTCCTCTTGGAGGTGACATGTTCGTGGAGGACATTGAGGGCGGCGGGGGTTTGGCCCACGGCGATGAGTTCTTGGGCGCGCTACAACCATTAGTATCTCTATCCTATCCTTTTTGCTTCCTTTCCTTCTTTCTTTCTTTCTTTCTTTCTTTCTTTCTTTCTTTCTTTCTTTCTTTCTTTCTGTCCTTTCATCTGTATATCCAATCGAAGTGTAGAGACGTACCTTGAGAACATTCTCAGGCTTGATGTGCGGCGGGGGCGGCATGATGGCGAGACTCCAGGAGGAGAACGAGTCAAGGGATTTTAGAGATGAACGGTAAGGGCACAGCTGGCAGCCTGTTGATCTTCTCAGGAAAATGAGAAAGGCTGAAAGGTTGACGCTGGCACGCGACGAAAGAAGCCTAGATGGGAGAGGCTGAGGCTATCTTGAACTCGCAACTCTCACTCTTTCGTTCTGTGCGAGAAGAGGAAAAAAACACTGGCCGGTTTGGCCCGTTTGGGTTAAGCGATGTCACGTGATATCCAGACCTACACTCACGGCCGATCTGTATTGAATGTACGTCTGTCGATATAATATTCTATCAAAATAGAGAATATAATATGATATATGAGATAATCGATCATGAATAAAAAGATCTACAGCTATCAAGATAGAGAGAGAGAGAGGGAGGGAGAGAAATACAGGAATGGGACTCAACCCTGTAATTTCGGTAATGGCGTGTATCCCCATCCCCCCCTAACCAACTCTCTCCACTCTCCCTCTCAACCTCCATTCTCTCTCTCTCTCTCTCTCTCTCTCTCTTCTTCCGTTCTTTCCTCTCTCTCCTGATCCAGTCTTTCACTCTTTCACTCCCTCCTCTTTCTTTCTTTCTTTCTCCCCATCCATTACTTCTGTTCCTCCCTACGTATCGGTCATTCTTTCTTTCATTCCTTCCATTCAATTCAATTCAATTCAATCCAATTCATTAATTCTTTTCCCCTCCCCCTTACCTCCCCTTCCGTCGCGCCATCCCTCTCTCTCCCGACCGGAACTCCATCCTTTCCATTCAACTCCTTGTCCGGTCGCATCCATCGACCCTCAATTCTCCCTCTCTCTCCCCTCCATCTCCCCCCCCCCCCCCCCCCCCCCCCCCCCCCCCCCCCCCCCCCCCCCCCCCCCCCCCCCCCCCCCCCCCCTCCCCCTCCCCCCCCCCCCCCCCCCCCCCCCCCCCCCCCCCCCCCCCCCCCCCCCCCCCCCCCCCTCCCTCCTCCTTCTCCTACCCCCTCCAATAATCAATCTTCCGACCACCTGCCCTTCCCACGATGCCTCCTTACGAATTGCGATCTGGCGGGGATGTCAAGAACAAGAAGCAAAGTGTCGCGGACCTCAAATATCGTCGTCTTACCGAACTCAACACCCGTCTGAAGGAGGATCTGGACCGTCCTCGGGTGAAGGTCTCCGAGGCGGCCCTTTCGTATGTGTTTCTTCTTTTCTTTACTTCTTCTTTCCTATCCATTGATTGACTCCATCGCTAATTGATTCCCAGTTTGATCAACTACTGCAACAACACGCGCGACTTTATGGTACCATCCGTATGGGGCCAGGTCTGTCCTCCTCCTCCTCCTCCTCCACCACCGCATCGCCCACCACTAACACATATCAGGTCGACAAGCGTGAGGATCCCTACGCTCCCCAACAGCAGGGCGGCTGCTGCACGGTCATGTAATGCCGTTCATGTCCATTTCACCTCCGATCGGCTGTCTACCGCCGATTCATTGATATCCCTATCGCGATGACTTCTACTTAATCTTTCTTCTTCTTCTTCCTTTTCGTTCATGTCTTTTCTCGGCTTCTCTCCATCGATCGACTGGCAGATTCAATCGTCTAGGAAGATGCGCGATGTCAGGCTCAGACCACCGAAGACGCGCTGGCCGGCATACTTCGGGACGCAACAATCAAGACATGACGATTCTTATTCTTCCTTGGATTACACTAATACTGTGTGTTCTTGAATTACATTAATGTGTGGTTCTTATTTTACCTTTTTTTTTTCTTTTCTTTTCTTTTCATATTTCCATTCATGTTCATCTTATCTTGCCATGTGAAAATTATTCTCTGGATTATTACCCTATTTCCTTTGTCAGTGACTAGTCAGAATAAAATATCTCAAAACTAAGAATCTTGTAATCAGACCGTGTAATATCGTACAACGTGATCACTCGAATGCAATGGTTTGACGGAGAATAAGCGCACGATGTGCGGAGAGGGACTGACTGAGATGCACGATGTAGTAATCAACTAAACCCGACGCTGACATCATCACACCTTTCCCCATCTACCAATCTATCCTACTCTATCTTCACACACTCACAAACACTCTTTCTTCCCCCACATCACATAAAATTTCTGATATTCTAAAATATAACATATATATGATATAAAATGACAACCCAAATCAACAACCCCCGCATAACAATCCAATACTGCACCCAGTGCAAATGGATGCTACGCGCCGCATATGTATGTCTCCCCACCCACCTCAAACAACATCAAAACACACCCCTCTCCCTAACCCCCCAACTACCAATCTCAATACTATACCAAACGACAACACTAATAAGAAGGATAGTTCGCCCAAGAACTCCTCTCCACCTTCTCCACCCAACTAGGCGAAGTCGCCCTCGTCCCTGCTACGGGGGGGTTATTCGCAATCACCCTCTTCTACTATCCTGTCGAGGACCCCCAGTCTGAGGGTCAACCTGGAGAAGTGCAGGAAACGCTCCTCTGGGATAGGAAGCGGGATGGGGGGTTCCCTGGTATGTGTCTTCTTTCTTTCTTTCTTTCTTTCTTTCCTTCCTCCCCTCTTTCACGATGATGATATTACCATCGGTGTTTTGTTTTGCTATACTATGTATAGAAAGAAGTTAATGCCATACAACAGAGGTCAAAACGCTCAAATCCCTCGTGAGGAACGTGATTGATCCGCAGAGGGACTTGGGGCACACGGATAGGGCTTTGAGGGGGGCTTCTTCTACTGCTGTTCCTACTACTGCTACTACTGGTGATACTGCTGCTGCTGGTGCTGCTGGTGCAACGGGTCCTACTGCAGAATCGGCGGAGAAAAAAGAAGAGTGTACTGACTGTCGGTGATTGATCTTTGTCCTACCTATATTCTCTGTATAAACTGTGATGTCTTGGCTGTTAACATATTATATATCCTGTTCATGTTTCTATCCTATCGTCAAATGCTATCCGCACTTGCAGATATATGTAGACGTCTGATCTAGATATATCCATCGAGTCAAGATAACAACCAATCAATCAAATGAAAAATAATATAGGTAAATAAAATGTTAAAAAAGTAATTACTCCAAAAGTAGGTCCAAGACCACCCAGCTCAACGCCATTCACGCCCCCCACTCTAATTTAATCGGTGTGTTCCTGTCCCGTCCTGTCCTGTCCTGTCCAATCCAATCCAGTCCAATCCAATCCTATACCCAGTTCACGCAAACAATTCAATTCTTCAACAAGCTCTTCCTGGCTTCCACTGAGGATCTTTCCAGTGGAGGCCGCTCATCTCATTTTGTAAATGTCGATATCGAAAGCATATCATATCATACCATATCCACTGTTCAGTTCAGTCCACTGTCGCTGTCCACTCATGGTAACTTCACTTGATCAAACTCCCCAATCCCATATCGTACACGGGGATCAATCAGTAAACCTCACCACCTCCAATCAATAAACCAAAGTAGAAGTAGAAAAAAAAAAAGAATAAATAATGAAGAATGTAGAAAGAAACTCCTATCTCCCACCAACACTCCAGCCGAGATTCGCAAATAGCAAACACAATTCTCCAGCCTGACCATGAAGCAAGCAAGTAAAAAACCCAATGTATCGTGACGAGTTCATAAGCTGAATGTAAATAGATTAACCCCATTCATGGCTTCGTTATTTTCCAGTCATTGCGGTTTTTTTTTTTTTTTTTTTTTTTTCTTTGGCTTTTTTTCTTGTAGAAAATTTTTTTTTTTGTTTCTGATTCTTCCTGACTGACTGTCTTGGTTGATAGAAATCCAACAAACGCCTTAATAACCTGAAGATATAGCCGAGGGTAGGTAACAAAGCCGAGGTATCTAAAAGAAATAGAGGAAGAACAAGATCAAAAAGAAGAATAGTCACGACTCCCCGCTCAGCTCATGCTGCGGCGAATGATGAGGCCTCCGACGCCAAAACGCCAACCGCAGCCGACTCCGCCGCTTCATCAGTCGTCGGGGCGACGTCTCGCCGCTGGGGGGTTCGTCCGGCGGCGGGCCGTGACTCCCTGTCGGCGTCGCGGAGAGGGTCGGGCTGCCGCTGCCGCCGTGCTCGGGGTCCGTTCCGGAGGGAGGAATGGACAGGCCTTCGGGGCTCTTGCCGGAGTCTTCTGCCTGGGAGTGGGAGGTGTGGCTGTCGCCGGACTGGAAGTTACTGCCGTCTCGGTCGGATACGGTGTACTGGATGGAGGAATCGGGGTGGGCGCTGCTGAAGTCGCTGTCGTCGGGCTCTGCGCTGTCCGGGGCGTGGGGTTTGTCGTCGCCGTATTCGCTGAGGAAGCTGGTTGCGTTGGTGGCTGGGGAGATGGGTGTCATGGTGTTGCTGTAGGTGCTGAGGCTGTGGGTCCGTGTGCAGCTGTTGCGCTGCGAGTTGGATGGTGGGGCGCGGCCGGAGGAGTTTGTGTTGGCGTGGTGGCGGCGGTAGCTTGGTGGGCCGTTGCGGGAGCTGCTGGCTCGTTCTCCGCTCTCTTCTTCTAGAGAGAAGTCGCGCGTGGAAGACGGTGCTTGGGGTTCGTACCCTGTTGGGGGCATGTCGGTGTGGCAGACCGCGGCCATGACGCCTGGGTCGCCCAGGGAAAAGCCCTCTTCCACGGCTTGTGCGCTCCGTCGTGGGGACGCGCCTGCGATGGAAACCATGGTGAGATCGGGGACCGCGCTGGAAGACTTGCGGGACGCTGGGAGGGAACTCCCGGTGATGTCCATCGCTGGGCCCGGCGTATCTGGCGACACGACCGGCTTGATAGTGTTCTCGTTGATATCGCCGGGAGAGCGCGAGACCACCGAGGATCTGGCGGACCCGAAATAATCCGCAGCACCATCCCCACCAGAGGGGCATGCTCGGTCCGGCGTATGTGGGCCACTGCTCTTCGTGGAAGGCCTGCGGTCGACCGCCACCTGCGGGCTCGTGGAGCGCGGGGAGATGCGTGGGTCCGCCCGGCTGGGTTCCTCCAGGGACAACTTCCTCTTCTCCAGTTCGGCCAAACACTGCCACTTGGCGTGGTTGGTCCGGGTGTGCTCGACGGTGAAGCGCATCTGCGGGAGGATGTGAGTGACGCCCTCGAAGAGCGGAAGCGCGAAAATGGTCATGAATCCCATCTGCCCGGTCGCCAGTTTGAAGATATTCCCCAGTTCCGGGGGCCCGCCAAACAGAGCGGTCTCCATCCCGACTTCCTGCTCCATCTCACCCTGGTGGGCAAACTCTTCCTGCAGGATCTGAGTCCATTTCTCCGCCACGGCCCACGGTCGTGAAACGTTGCTGATGTCGGCACACTTGATCAGTAGCCCGCAGACGAGGGTCTTGTACATATCGAGATCTTGCGGCTTCCAGCCATCGACGGTCCGGTTGTTATCGACGAACTTCTCCTGGAGCGACCCGAGCCGCTCCATGAATTTCTGATGCACGCCCATGTCCGTCGCTAAGATGGAGCTGATCAGGAGCTTGCGGAGTTGCCGATCCTTGAAGGCAGCAGGCCAGTAACGGCGCAGGATCTGAGAGAATGCGGCGCAGTGGAAGGCTTCCAGGACCGAGTTGTCATTATAGAGTTGGGCGAGCGGGGCGTTAAGCTTGACCAGGAAAAAGTTGTTCACACCCGGATGGCCGACGTCGTGGCCGATTGCCGATATCAGCAGGGTGAGGGTGTCGAAGGGGGTGAGAAGGGATGCGATCGGGCTTTTTGACTCGACATCTTGGGGGATATCTTCATACGGCGGCAACGCACCGACGTGCAGGAGGAAGCAGAAGATGGACTGCAACACATCGATGGCATGTCGAAAGTTGTGGTAGAGGACGAAGGAATTGTAAGAGGCGCGGCACGCAAGGAGAAACGTTCGGAGTTCACCTGATCGAACTGGTCAGCCAGCCCGCCAACAATGCAACTCGAGGGTCCCATTACTTACCAGGAGGGAGCTTCCACTCCTCCAGATCAGGAATCGTAAAAGCATGTTGGAGCATCTCAAAAGCACCCAACACAAGTTCATCGTCGGAAAACTCGTGGGCCGTGAATTCCCACTTTCCGATCTGCTCCTTGACGACCTGCACGCGTTCCGGTGTAACATCCAACTCCCTGTGCCGCCGTCAGTCTGTGAAATGATACCAGGGAGAGGCGCTGCATACCGGTCTTGAAACTCCTCAATGGTCTCCTCGGGGTTGCAGATACCTTTCATCAGTTTCGAAACCCTGCCGAGGTCAGTATGGATTTTGGGACTCAATCAGAACCGCTGGTTGGGAGAAAAAAGCCTACATTGCTTCCCGAAGGTAGGAATACGGTTGCTCGGCACTGACGCCGACCCATGAGTGTTTTCGGAGTTTCTTCTTGGACAAAAAGCGAGACTGTTCTCTGACGGCCGACTTGTGGGCTCGATAGACATGGACGGTCAGACCTTGTATCCGGTCTCGAACCAACGGAGCGGATAGAACGTCGACGGCACCGGCATCGATGCATTTGGAGATGTGCTGGGGGGCGGGAGTCCCCCCCTGGGGAAATTGCTGGGCCATGGGGGCGCTGGTGGGAGATAGAGAGCGAGTAGGGGGTGCGCGCAGGATGGCTACCGGGATGATGAGATTCGCCGATTCTTGGACTTGGATATCGGCCGACAAGCCGGAGAGCAGCTTCAAGTCGTACGATCCGGCGGATTGCGTGGAGAAGGTGAACCCGCGACGCATGGACGACGGGGACGGCGGCGACATATCAGACCACGAACCGCGACTGCTCTTGCGTCGCGCAAGGCCGGCCTCTTCCGTGTTGAGGTCGACATCGAAGAACGCGAAGATGGGGGTGCAGTCCACGTGCGCCCGGTCACTGATTTCAGCCAGGGTTGTCGCGAGGGATGGACCAGCATAGCAAAGATATACTATGACGGGTTAGCGCACCAAGCGAAGGGGAGGGGGGAGAAGGAGACGTACTCCGCTTGCTGACTTCCAACAGGAGCTCCACGTCCTCCCGTAGTGACTCTGGCTCGTCCGGTAGTAGGAAATCGCTAGCTGATGAGGCCGCCGAGGCATCCGACGACCTCTGGTGCACCCATCGCTCCGATGTTACGCGATGATCGATGTAGACGGCAGAGCATTCGATTGGATCCATGATGCCGGTTGGATCTGGGACGCCCATGAAATGAAGACACTCGGCTCCAACGGGAGGTGACGGGTCAGAAGCGAGAGAAGGAAAGATATAGTTGATCTAGAATCGGTCTCATAAGGCTGCTACGGGTTGAACAGAGGATGCCGGGGGTCGGGCCGGAGTGAAAGATCGGAGACGGGGGGCGAATGACCGGCAGCGGGTAAAGGAGAGATCTAGGGTATGTCTAACTGCAATCAGCGACTCGGGTTCGATTGAGGGATAGGCGATGCAGGCGACGCAGATAGGGAGATAGGAGACGAGGGCAACGATGGCCGGCCGGGACAGTCGGGGCTTGAGATGGACGGGCAGGCAACCAGAGGACAGCCAGATCGGACGACGATCACACCAGACCAAACCAGACGCGCAAACCTCGGCGTGTTGGCCGCAACGGCGATCGAGACTGAGCTGTCTATTGCGACTTGTCGCTCCGGCGCCCAATCCACTGGTCCAGACCTCCCGAACCTTGTAGCGCACGTTGGTCTCCCAGACCCACGGTCTGCGACCGCCACACACGCCGTCGGCGGGTACGGGGGGGGGCCAACTCACCGTCGGGATGAAGACGGGAGAAAGGATCGATCGGAAATCAAAGGGTCGAAGAGCATCCAGAGCTCTCGTGCAGTCCAGCGACTACGTTGGCAACGTGGTCACGGCTAACCTAGTCTCTCCACCGGGGCAAATGGTGCCCGAGAATCTAAGTGAGCCGGCGGGCGCAAGTGTCCCCACGGTGACGAAATCGCCTCGACCAACCGAGAGGAGGGATAGAAACAACGAGACCCAGGTGAGGAATCTCAGGAAGTCATGGTGGGCCACCGATAGGGCCGAAGGAGAAGGTGTGATGACACAAGACAGGGAGGTGGAGAGGGAGGAAGTGATTCGATCGGGGGGAGGGATTTGGTGGTGACACGGGCGGAATGGTCGGGGTGGTGGCTGTAGGGGAGGAGATCTTGGAAGGCAAAAATGGGAGAGAGGAAAAAAAAAAAAAAAGAAAAACAGAAAGAGAGAAAGGAAAAAAGGGAAAAGGTTAAAGAAGAGAGAGAGTGAGAGAGAGAGAGAATAAGGGGATGAGACCCGACTGGTTGACCCAGATGAATGAGAGCAAGAAGAGACAAAGAAGAAAGAAATCCCGGGGACCCAATAAATTACAGAGGGCGAGGGTCAGTCGAGGATTAACAGACTCGAGAGAGAGAGATACCGTCGAATCGATCGAGGGGAGGAAGAAGAGGGGGCAGACTGCGCTGAGGGAGAAGAAGATGACGACGGTGGTTGTCAGACAAAGGAGAGGAAAGAAGAGGAAAAGAGAGGATCAAGATAAGAATCTAGAGTAAAAAAAAAAAAAAATACTAAACATGAAGAGATCAAAAGTCAAAAAAGAAGGGTCAAGGAAAGAAAGGTGTAAAGGAAAGGAGGAAAGCTAAATCCAGGAGAGTGGTTGTAAAAGGGAGAGAAAAAAAAAAGTGGAGGGAGATGGAAGAGATGGAGAGAGAGGGAGAAAAATCACGTATAGCTGAAGAGTGGAGATGCAGTTCGTTAGGGAAGCAAGGATCGAATAATTAGAGAAAATAGAG